TTATTACAGATTCGGATGCTACATCCAAAAACACGTAACTTTTGTCTGAACTTTTTTTTTCTATTTCTGATAGATGGCGCTGCATTCGGCGAAAATTGGGTAACCTTCGTTTTCTTCAAAGGGAATCCCCTATAATGACGCTACGTCGAAGAAAAGTAACTTTTGTCGGAAACATGTTTTTTCGAATTATCGTAAATATCTACGATAATTTTTTATTCGTTTTAATTAAAAAATGAAAATAAAAGTTACAATCTCCAATGGCCTTGACCTTTACAAATGTTATACAAATGATGATGTTAAAAATTCAAGAGGTTTTACTCGTCATTTCCAAATGGTCCACTCACGATTTTTCAAAATTTAGTGTTAAACGGATAAAAAATTATTGTAGATATTTACGATAATTCGAAAAAACATGTTTCCGACAAAAGTTACTTTTCTTCGACGTAGCGTCATTATAGGGGATTCCCTTTGAAGAAAACGAAGGTTACCCAATTTTCGCCGAATGCAGCGCCATCTATCAGAAATAGAAAAAAAAAGTTCAGACAAAAGTTACGTGTTTTTGGATGTAGCATCCGAATCTGTAATAAAAAGTAGGGGTTCCTATTTAAGATTTCAAAGTTACCCCCCGCCCCATCCCCAGGGGGGGGGCGGGAGGTGGATAATTTTTGTGGGATTAAATTGCGCCCTCGAAACTATTGAGAGTTTATTTGGAACATTTTTGTCGTACAATGCTTATTTTTCGAGATATTTAGCAGTCTCAAGTTAAAAAAAACACCCTGTATATAACGTTGTTATCGTGTCCACATGTGTGATTTTAAAATTCTATAAATAAATATGTAAGAAACGTATCAGTAAAAAGCCAGTGAAAGTCGATGGCTACAAAATGACTGAATAATATTTTTTAATTAAAATAAAACCTCCATCTCCCATTATCATATTATTCTTATCACATCAATTTTTACATATGTCTATTGTTATTTCTGTCATAACCGATTAATAGTCTAATTGTAAGTCCGTTGCGATCATGATAACTTGGAGAGAACGCAGTAAACTTCATAGGGAAGAAAGCGCGCGTGACAATTTCGCCAAGCTCTACTATGACACGGTACGCGCGCCTGCCGACGAGGCAACCCGTCGTATTGGCCTATATGTAAGTGCAACACCCTTTACATTGAGAGAACGATTTATTGAATCAAATAAATGTTTCTTTAGAATAGTCCAAACAAATTATTTGATTGATACATACAAATATTTTTTTGGAACTAAGCTATAAATAAATATTTTTTATTAAATATTTTTATAAATATTTTAAGAAGTGTTTATTTGATTCAAACAAATCATGTTCTTTACGTACATACACGCACACACACACATACACACACAAAGAAGTGTAAGTCCGATCGTGCAACTTCCATGTGGTATACCTTGTGTAATGCTAATGCTAGCGATAAGTGTAGCATTCAAGTTCCATAACTCGGAAAGTTATTGTGGAAAGAAAGTTTGCAACCTGTGTTTTAGAGATGTCTTAACGTTAGCTACAAATATATGCTATGAAAAATAGGAGGTTCCATTTAAAATTTTTATGTATATTGACCTTGACACCGTTTCTCAAGATTATCTCAGTATCAAATAAATATCAATGTCTGATAAACTTTTTAAACCCCTACCACTTTTGTTTTAAACATTTTTTAAATAAACTGATATTTTCTGGAATAATTTGCCGTTCTAGGACTTTTTCCACGCACTGTATATACAGTGCGTTCCCAAATACAAACTTTGAAAGATTGTTGGGGATATCTTAAAAATCATTTTTTGCAAATGGACTTCGTGTAAAAAATGGGGCGTTTCATCGTTATGGAGTGATTTTGCCTCTATTAGCCAGATTGTTCACTGATCTTGCCTTCATTGGCTGGATTAGTCACTGATCTTGCTTTCATTGGCTGGATTAGCTACTGATCTTGCCTTTATTAGCTAAATCAACCGTCGATTTAAAAAAATTCAATGTGATTTTAATGTTAGTCGGTTTAGCTTGTAACGATGCACACCTGCATCGTCACTACTCCGGCCCGACCGACCATCAGTCGGGCCGTGCACCGGCGCGTTGCGCCAACATAAACGCCGCAAGGCCTGACAGACAAAACGCGTAAACAACCGATAATAAGCATAAACAAAGCGAGCGAGAATTCGAGCACAGCGGAAACAATAGA